AAAAATATGAAAACAAGTATGTTATACAAAAAAATAAACTGAACAACTTTTGCCTTGGAACCATCTCCAAATTCGCTGCCAATTTTAAAATAAAATAAATTCTTTTTTTTTTATACTTTTTTCGTGTTTTTAATTGCTAAAAATGGAGTTTTTTTCTTTTTTCACCTTTTTTTTCCCTTTATTTCGGGATACGAAAAAAAATATTATTTTTTCAAACTTTATTTGTAGATTTTATATTATGTAAAAAATATATATATATATATATTTTTTATGGCATTTGTCATAGCCAAAAAAAAAAAAAAAAAAGTCAAAGATGGCGATGTCAAAAACATGCTCACCCACTCAATAACTTCATTCGCGTTTTACTTTTTTTAATTTTTATTATTACTATTTAGTTTTAGTACTTGATTTTTATTTCAAATTTGGTAAAGAATTTAGATGTAACATTGAGGCGAATGTTGTTTAGTTTATTCTTGTGCATAACATGTTTTGTTTTAAGATGTTTTGGTTTTTTTATTTTTATTTTTATTTTTTTTTATCCGCCTTCGGTCGAATGGCTAGACACGTCGAGAGGGGATGTCGAGCGTTCGGGCGTTCGAGTTCGGGCATTCGGCCCATCCCAAACGTCAACAACCCTGTATATATTTGTGGTTTATTTGAAGCATACGTCTAAGTAACATCGTGTTCGCGTTCCGGGGCGAACCCGAACATATTCGTCCGAACGCAAAGTAAAAACCAAAACCCTCCGAATGCAAATATGAAAAAAAAAAATTCTTTGAAAAATATGGAAAATATTTATGTCATTTTAAACAACAATACAAGCAACTTTTGCCTTAAAGCCGTCTTCAAAATCTTAACCAAACGTGAGTTAAAAATAAAAAACCCAATAATATATATTTTTTTGTTAACGAAAAGAAAGTACGTTCACCTTAACACGTTCGCGAGTTGTTCGCTTGAACGAGCAAACGGATTCGCGTGAACGTCGAGGGGCGCGAACACATTCGTTGTGCTATGGAGGAATACAGTAGTTATTAGTGGTGAGACGATACCGTTAAAAAACAATTGTGAAGAACGATACCGGACACAAATTACGTATTCGCAATGTTTTTTTGTCACATGATTTGTTCGTAGACCCTTTTAGGAAATAGTGAATTGGTCGCTAACCAATAGAAAGTCATGTTATAAGATATGATGTAATTTAATTTCATGATGCAAATATCACTCTCATAAGTGAAATCATCAAATTTAAAATAAACCTTGCAAAATTAGTGCACTGATATAAAGCCAAAGTAGAGTGTGACGGACCACTTGAGAATACCATACTTAGATGGTTGGAATTATAACGAACAAAATTTGAGCAATTAAACCGTCCCCCCCAACTATTGATAACTTTGGGGGATTGGTAGCAACACTTCATCATACTTATTGGTAGCGTAACCCTGAAAAAAGTGAGAAAAAGTCATGAAAATTTATTAGTACATTATTTTTGTGTTTGATTGTTTTCATGACGTTAGGTCTTATCCGATTTTCGTTTTGAATAGATTAGCACCTATAATACAAAATATTCCTGTAATCAAGGTTGTCGCCGTTCGGGATAGGCCGAACGCCCGAACATTCGACACCCCCTCTCGACGCGAACGCGGACCGAAAAAAACAAAAAAATCCAAAAAATATAAAAACAAAATATATCATGCATAAGAATAAACTAAACAACATTTGTCTCAACGTTACATCTAATTTCTTTACCAAATTTGAACTAAAAACCAAATACTAAAAATAAATAATAATAATAAAAATTAAAAAAAATAAAACGAAAATTAAATTATCGAGTGGGCGAGCACGTTTTTTACACCGCCATTTCTGGCAATTTTTCATTTTGTTTTGGCTGTTACAAATGCAATGAAAATTTATATATGTGTATGATTTACAGATAAAGTTTGAAAAAATAAGAATTTTTTTCATGCTTCGAAATAAAGGAAAATCAAAAAGTGGAAAGAAAAAAAGAAAAAAATTAGTAAGTGGGCAAGCAAGTTTTGACACCGTCATCTTTGATAATTTTTCATGTTTTTTTGGATGAACAGAATGACTTCAAAATTAAGAGGGAGATACCTTACATCATAAAGAACTCACAAAAGCATTTTCAGAAAAAAACAGTAATACTTATGTGTCAATTTTGTTTTTTGCGGGGTCTGCACCCCTTCAAGTTTGGGCCCCGTACGGGGACCCGAACGCCGGAATGTTCGAGATTCAACTTAGGGGTCTCCGTACGTTCGGTCTTGCAACCTTGCCTATGATTGAATAAAACTTCAATAATAAAATTACAATTTGAAATCTTTGTTTTCATTCCATCTTAAAAATGTTATTCCACATTTCAAATTTTTCGTTTTACTGTAAAAGTTTTATTCCAACAAAGCGGTATTCCTTCTTGTTTGAACGACATGCTAAAGTTCGAATGAAAGTCTTGATAAACTCATTAAATATTTTAATTGGACTATCATTTTATTATAAGCAGTTCCAGTCATAAATAAGTTAATCCAATCTTAACTAAAAGGCATTTATTATAATAGAATAAAAATTTAATTAAAATTTTTATAAAATTGTAAAAACTTTCATCCCATCCTTAACAAATAGACATAGTTGTAAGGGGAATTTCTATTTTAGACGAGAACTTGTCAAATAAAATTGAAAAAAAAAAAAAAAGAGGACTTTGGAATGATAATTTTTTAATTTAAAGAAAAATTTTAGAATTTAATGTTTTTTAATCGTCCATTTGTGGAAAATTTTATGTTGTAATATGCGATTTTCATTTTTTAAGTTTCTTTGATTCCTTATCCTGAGCGTGAAAAATCACTGAAGTCGGGGCATTTTCCCCCCTACGGAAAGGTATATGGCTTACACATGGCAGCGATTAAAAAAAAAAAAAAAAAGTCAAATCACTTGAATGGTTTTTATTGGAAAAAAAAAATAAATCCAAAGTATTATTGGAATGAAAAACTACGTGGGAGTCACAAAAATAAGTTATAATTGCAGTATGGGCTAAGATACAGTTTGCACTTGCAGTTCGGACAATGTTATAATCGAACTTTCTACCAGGGTATGATGTTTTTTTTAAGTGCAATTGGATGTTTTTTTTAAGTGCAATTGCAAATTGTATCTTGCACGGAAAACCCTCTAACGGACATCCTCCCTGGGTCATAACTCCCGTGTAGTTACCCTCCTTTAAAGGATTGAAACCTAGTCTTCGCACGCTCAAAATTTCAGTTTTTTTAAAGCATTTTTCTGCGTGTAAAAAAAATCAAATATTGCGTGCATTTTTTTTCCAGGTAGTTGCCGCCTGCCTCCGAATTATTCGAGTCTACCGGTTTCCAACCTTCTTTGGACTCACCATAAGCCTCTTTTCGATTGTCGGATGGAGTGGTTACTTATGGTAGAATAAAAAAATATGATGGGGGACATGCCAAAGAGGTTTTTGATGAAACCTTAAACCGAGTGGTCTTAAAGCGACACAACCTTCGAAGAGGAGTCACTCTTTTGAATTTAGGTTTGCTCTAGTTTGCGAATTGGTGGGTAGGATAAGGAGTTATGGATTCGCAGGGCTTAATTACAACCAATGAGCAAGGCAACAAAGGTGATTGCGTTACTCCTAAGCAGTGGAGTGACACACTTGGTGAGCTGATGTTTTTTGTTTTTTCCCCCCTCTTGAGCCGATGTTTAGCATACTTAGAGGTGGAAATTGAAAGATTTGGAACCTGCAAATAATAGCTAATAGCACGGATATCAGTAGGTATCCGATGACAACTGAATAGGGGTATATGGGGAGGAAAGGTGTGGTGACAGTAAGTAAGGCAAGTGGAATGGCCCCGGATGATAGGGGATGCACCCCCTCGAGCAGTCTCATTATGTGCTATTGTTCGTTGATTTGCTCGCGAGGAAGCAACTTGGCCATTGCTTGTCACCATGCTTCACATGTCCCGGTCACACCCCAGGTCCAGGTTCTCCTTGCCCCCATTCTCTACCCGTGGCCGTCGATCCATGCAATCTGTGGTCGAGAATGAAGAACCATGGGTTCACCAAATGATCGTAGTTCCTCCCCCCGCCCCCCCCCTCAAAAGGGCAGTAGTTTCCATGATATTTTTATTTTATTTTATTACTTCTATTGTTAGGATTTTTTATTTTTTTCTTTAAACCATGAGTACTTGGCCCAACTATCGATGCCGAGCCGGCTGACCATCTGCGCGCCAAGTTTCCCGAACCGCCGTGGCGCCATTTCGACTTTGTTTTGGCTGGTGCTTCCAACATTGAGGTCTGGTACCCCGAAGCCCGAAAGTTGCGTGCCGTTAACGACAACGGCCGATGTATGGGCCAAGTACTGGTGGTTTAAGCCCAACCAATTCAATTGCCTGTCGAATCCGGACAAGACGGCCTTTTTGATTGTCATTATAGTACTAGTATTATGGGGGAACCCTGTAGCAGCCACATCCGTGCTCAATCAACGAGGGAACATGGGGGAGGTGCACCCACCATGGACACCTGCTACTACAGCAGATGGGCGATACCGGGCAGGGGTCAGCCGTAAGCATCAGGACCGAGCTTCTTCGATGGGCCAGTCACCGTGCCTCCCCTCCGGTCCCCTCCCCCTATGAACATCAGCAGTTTTTGGTCAATGCCACTAGGGGGGGATCAACGGCATATCTCTAGGTGGCGGGTGCCAAGCTTGCCCTGGAAGGTAAAGCAACCTAAGAACTGAGAGAGGCTTTGCTCGTCCGCACGCGAACGCGCAACAGAGAAAGAAGACCTGAATGTCACTTGCGTGCCTTACCAACCGAGCTACCCGCTGGATTGCACTGTACTTTTTTTGTTTTTTTGTTTTTTTTTAATTTGGACCAGTTCTCGATTTATGCGTGTCATCCTTGCTAACGGATGTCCCGAAGGACGTGGTACTGTTGTTATGTGGCACGGAGGAGTGATTTTTTGCACCCAGACTCTGGTAGACGTATCTGGCACTGAGAAGTGATTTATTGATTTATTGCACCCAGACTCTGGTAGACGCATCTGACGGTCAGGATGGCCATGTCCACTACAGATACAGATGAGCGTTTCCGATGATTGCGGCGGAACAAGGCCGCACCCTGTCTGGAAGTGGGCCGAGTCCCGGCGGCAACCGCTGCCGGAGGTGTTTTTCGTGTGTGCCCAAGATCCCATTCCCCGGTGTCCTTTGCCTTGGACCGTTTGATCGTCTGACTACAAGGTCAGATACGAAAAGTCATGCTACGATCCCGCTACGCCGTTGTTGCAAGCCCAATCATTCCCCCGGTGTCCTTTGTCTTCGGCCGTTCGATCGTCTGGGATTACAAGGTCAGATACGGAAAGTCATGCTAAGATCCCGCTCCGCCGTTGTTGCCAGCCCGATCATTCAGAGCGCGAGTTCCCTTCTTTTTTTTTTTTTTTTTTTTTTTTTTTAAGAGCGGGAGTTCCAGTCTCGGCAATAATCTGAAGGGAATCGAGACTGTCAGAGCGCGAGTTCCACTGTCGGCAATAATCAGGGAATGGAGTTCCACTCTCGTCAATAATCAGAAGGGAATCGAGACTGCGGGGCCGAAGTCCCGCTAGCGCTACCGGTAGTGCTAGCCCAGATTCTTCTTTTTGGACCGTAGATTATGGGAGATCGACGGCCATAAATGAGCGATCGCTAGCTACAGGGTAGTAGGACCTCGCGCCGGCCGAGTCTCCCTGTAGCGCAACTGGCGAGGGAGTATTATAGCCTCGCAAGAACCGTCACAGCAAGTCACAGCGCCACCAGAGTTGTGACGAAGAGGTGCTGCGATCTACGGGGCAGTTGGCGACGTTGCCGGTCTCCGGAAAGCTGAGAGTAGAAGCGGGGTGGGTGAAGCTAAGAACGAAGCAGCGGGAGGCGATTATCTCCCGCCATGGCGAATGCTGCTGTAGCCACTGTCGGTACCGCCGTTGGGGAAGATGCGATGAATGTCGCTATCGCTGTCATGCCTACCATGCTTGGTCAGTTGGGAGCCACGTCGCTATCCCCCTGGGCTGTTCAGGTGTTCATCCCGGCTACAGCTCTGATCGGGATGGCGTTTGCCATTTTTCAATGGTACGTGGTTTCGAAGATTCCTGTTCGATCGGCCGCAGTTGGTGACGACTATTATTTGGCGGATGAGGGCGGGCTCGAGGATGCAAGCGTGATAGCGAAGGTGGCGGACATTCAGGAGGCCATCTCTCTTGGCGCAGTGTCGTTCTTGACGACGGAGTATTGGTACTTGACCATCTTCATGACACTGTTTACTGGTATCATTTTCGTCTTCCTTGGATCCGTCGACGGGTTCGGGAGGGAGTGGAAACCTTGCGATGCCAAGGTTCCCACTGGGAAGATGTGTGCGCCAGGCACTGCCGTCGCATTCTTCAGCGCCGTGGCTTTCGCTCTCGGGGCACTGACTTCCACCCTGTCCGGCTTCCTGGGCATGAAGATCGCAACTTACGCGAATGCCAGGACGGCCCTGCAGGCGAGGAAGGGCATCGGCGCGGCCTTCGCGGCTGCCTTCAGATCCGGCGCTGTGATGGGCTTTCTGCTGACGGCGAACGGCCTGTTGGTGCTGTTCCTGGCGATTCTTGGGTTCAAAAAGTACTTCGGCGATGACTGGGTTGGACTGTACGAGTCGATCGCGGGATACGGGCTTGGCGGATCGTCCGTTGCTCTGTTTGGCCGTGTGGGAGGTGGCATTTACACGAAGGCTGCTGATGTCGGGGCTGATCTCGTCGGCAAAGTGGAGCGCAACATTCCGGAGGACGATCCTAGGAACCCTGCCGTGATTGCTGATAACGTGGGTGACAATGTGGGCGACATTGCAGGCATGGGCTCTGACTTGTTTGGGTCTTTCGCCGAATCCACGTGCGCGGCGTTGGTCATCTCCTCGTTGTCCTCCATGGGCACGGACTTGGATTTCACGGCGATGAGCTTTCCTCTGCTAATCACGGCTTCGGGCATCATTGTCTGCCTCTTGACGACCCTCGTGGCCACCGACATTCAGGTCGTTGAGAACATCAAGGACATTGAGCCGAGTCTGAAGAGGCAGCTTCTCATCTCGTCGGTCCTGATGACGCCCACGATCTTTGCGGTGTCTTATCTGTGCCTTCCTGCGCAGTTCAGTATCATCGTTGCCGGGCACGAGGACAAGGTGGTGAAGAACTGGTACATGTTCTTCTGCGTGGCGGCCGGTTTGTGGGCGGGACTGATCATTGGGTACATTACGGAGTACTTCACCAGCCACCAGTACTCGCCAGTGCGCGACGTGGCGGATGCGTGCAGGACGGGAGCGGCAACCAACATCATCTTCGGTCTGGCTCTGGGTTACAAGTCTGTGATCATCCCTGTGTTTGCCATCGCCGGMGCCGTCTACCTCTCCTACAGCCTGGCGGCCATGTACGGCATTGCGTGCGCAGCACTTGGAATGCTCAGCACYCTGTCCACCTGCCTCGCYATCGACGCCTACGGGCCCATCAGCGACAATGCCGGTGGGATCGCCGAGATGGCAGAGATGGGCCCAGCYATCCGTGAGAAGACGGACGCGCTGGATTCGGCKGGGAACACGACTGCTGCYATCGGCAAGGGCTTYGCGATCGGGTCGGCTGCGCTGGTGTCGCTCGCTCTGTTTGGCGCCTATGTGAATCGCGCCGGCATCTCGGAGGTGAACGTGATCGCGCCGAAGGAGTTCGTGGGTCTGCTCGTRGGGGCSATGCTGCCGTACTGGTTCTCGGCGATGACGATGAAGAGTGTGGGCAAGGCKGCTCTGGCCATGGTGGAGGARGTGAGGCGGCAGTTCAACACCATTGCGGGCCTGATGGAGGGAACGGTGAAGCCGGACTACAAGAARTGCGTGATGATCTCCACGGACGCGTCGCTCAGGGAGATGATCGCGCCWGGCTGYTTGGTGATGCTCACACCCATCATCGCAGGTTACCTGTTCGGCGTGTACACSCTAGCAGGTGTTCTTGCSGGCGCCCTGGTTTCCGGAGTGCAGATGGCCATCTCCGCCTCCAACACCGGCGGAGCGTGGGACAACGCMAAGAAGTTCATCGAGGCAGGCAACACGGMGCAAGCTCGCGCKCTCGGGCCGAAGGGCTCCKCRTGCCACATGGCAGCCGTCATCGGAGACACCGTGGGCGATCCCCTCAAGGACACGTCGGGCCCATCTCTCAACATCCTCATCAAGCTCATGGCAGTCGAGTCTCTTGTCTTCGCACCGTTCTTTAAGGAGCATGGCGGCGTCCTTTTCGGTGGCAACAGTTAGAGCGGGGTGAATCACCCTGGAAATTTTGTCGTGTAGGAGTGTTTGTTTCCTTTTTAGCTAGGGCACGGAATTGGCCAGGCAATCGAAAGTTCCTCCTTGTCCCCTCCCCCCGCCTTCCCCCCCCTTCCCCCCCCTCCCCCCCCACCAATTCTAATCGCTAGCGATATGACGAAGCGTGGAAGTAGTTGGTCTTACGTTCGCAACAAGGGCGCCCCAAGATCGTCGGCACGGGGTAAGGCACGGCTTTATATCTTCCTTTATGGCAAGGGTATGAGATCAAGATCGTCGGCGAGGTGAAAGGCGCGGTTTATTTTCCTTTATTGACAGGACATGAGTTCAGACGGGAGGAAGTCTGTTAGCTAACGACTAGTTTCTGGCTGTTCATTCGGTGATTCCCTCTTGCGAGTTGTAGGTCTCTCCCTTCCAAATTTCGCTGTGCCCTCGTTTTTGCGTAATTGGTTGCTTGACGTAAGAGGAAGAGTAGCTGCCCTCGTTGTTTTTGCTTAATTTGTTGCTTGACGTAAGAGGAAGAGGAGTTGTCCTTACGGGAGGGTTGCATGGCGGAAAGTACGTGTAAACATATATATAACCACGTGGGCGGCCTTGTACGCAAGAGGTTCTGAACAGGGGTAGTTGTAAGGAAGAAATAAAAAAGCGATTCATTCTTTTTTTTTTTTTTGGCTTTTGCGCTCTCATATTCATGTGATGATATATATATATATTGTCGTGTTATACAATCTCAGGTCGTGAGAGTCAGAGACGGACCCGGGACGCATGGGTGTATATTGCGGGCCCGGCTGTTTTACACAGAGGATGGCATAAACCCCTCTCATTTCATTTGTTAATGCTTTGGCTTCGATGGAATTTTCTTCTTTTCGGCGGCTGAATTGTTTTGTTCTTCTGCCGAATACTATTTGGAAGTGTGATCTTTCGATGTCTCATCCATTCATTTCGTATATCTTCTATATCTGTTGAGCGGTCCTTACAATATTTTGGACAATATTGGACTTGACCCTTCTATCTGTCGATTAGTTGCCCGGTTTTCCTTTCCTATCCGAGGTCGTGCCGAGCTTTCAATTTTTTTGACACATATGGTCGAAGCTAGCGCGCTGCTTTTCTTTACCCTTGAGTGGACAATTTTTGTAACTACCTTGTCGTCGGGGGACTGGACGAATTGTGTTCGTTGCCGTGCTTTCGAGAATGGCAGGGCGAAGGGGCGAAGTCGTTTTGTGTTGAAGTGGTGAGAGGGAGGAGATCGGAGGGAAAAAGTAGGGTTGCAGATTGGGGTCTTGTGTTTTGGCAGTGGTTAAAGCCTTTGGATTTTGTATAAGTGTGGTCATGCCCATCAGTGTTTTGGGTATCACCACCCCATCGAGTGTCTTACCTCTTAAGTGAGACTGCAAGCTGAGCGTGCTGCTTGCTCGTTTGCGAGGCTTTGACTTTATATGTTCGTGATAAATCCTTTTCCTGAGGAGTTCATGGTGAAAGTATCGTGTGCCAAAGAAATACTGCAATACCCGGATTGAGGGTACGACGATATTTTGCTTCATGTGTTGGTCAGTGTTGAACGGGGGGGGGCGGGGGATTTTTGAAGTGGTTGGTTAGTAGTTCAATTTGTCGTGTTCGCTCAGTCGGTTCATACCTACCCCCTCCCTCCCCCCTCCCCCCTTGACACGATGCGTGCATGTTTTCCCCTCCATTTGTACGTCCTCTTGACCCTCTTACTCTTTTATTCGTCGGCTAGCAATATGCCATCTGCGTTGCTTTTTTCTGTAATGTATGTGTGCTTGATGAGTCGTCCTTCGCTATTGTTGAACGCGAAGTGTTGCCTGTCTGGTTCGTCCTATATCCTGTTGGCTGATTTGGAATGGAACTCTGTTTTGGAATATGCAGGGAACGGGTGTGTTCGTGGACGGTCCCGGGGCTGGCAAACATATCCAGGCGGGTGCTAAGAAGGTGATTATCACCGCCCCGGCGAAGGGAAGCGAGATCCCGACTTACGTGGTGGGAGTGAACGAGGAGGACTACCACCACGACGTGAGCAATATCATCAGGTGATCGAATGGAGGATTCGCTAAGCTTTTCGTATCGTGTGATTATTTGATTGGTAATTGACTGATAGGATTGAATGATTGATGGAATGATTGGGTTGGTAATTAATCGGACGAGCATACCTTGCGTCCGCTGACGATTTGCGTGATTGTTATCAGACCGAGGGAATACTCACACGAGGGCCTTTTTGAATGAGCTGTGGACGTAATTAGAGTCAGGTACATCCTGGTCCGGCTGCAATTGTGATCGGATACGTTCATGGAAGACCAGTGTGGCCTTACCGTGATTGTCTAATTGCGTTATTGCCCCTACCTTTGCATGGTTTTTGCTTTAAACCACCATTACCTCCGAACCTGTTTTTGCCGACCCTGATTTTCACTGCGCACCGTGTTGGCCGAGCCGGGGCAGTTTCATCGAAGAAAGAAGGGGAAAAAAAAGAAAAAGAAAGAAAAAACAGAGACTTCCCGAACGCCTTGATAACCACCAGAGACATTCGTCCAAGCAATTGTGTGACTGTGCCCTTAGTGAGGGCGTGTACGGGAAAAAACAGCGAAGCAACAAAAAAAAAAGGGAGGAATACATGATGCTACAGCAGTGAGACAGTTACGTGCCACCCGTGAAACACGCCCTGCCTAGCTGGCAGGGCACTACAAGGATTTCAAAACAAAAAGAAAAACAAAAACGACCTGCAATCCCTTTCCCGACATAGTAGCCAGATACATTCGTCCAAGCACTGGTACAACGTCCACCCTCGTGAGGGCCTTTCCCGACATCCCTGGAGTGGGGACTCTTCGTTTTCTTTCTTTTTTCTTTTTTTTCTTTTTTTTCTTTTTTTTTCGTCGGCCTCCAACCCTGCCCCGAGCCCCGTGTTTTCAGGAGTAGGCTACTAGATGGACTTTGAGTTTGCCTGGGAAAGGTAGTGGTGGTATGATGATTGCATTTGACATTGGAAGGTGTGATATGGGAAAGCATTAACGATTGCACGTTGAAGACCCAGTGCACATGATATCGTAAAGATTCATTGTTGCTGGAATGATTGCATGATATCGTAAGGCATGATATCATAAGGTGTGATGATTGCATGATATCATAAGGTGTGATGAATGATTGCATGATATCATAAGGTGTGATGAATGATTGCATGATATCATAAGGTGTGACGGTTGCGTGATATCGTAAGGTGTGATGTGGGCAAAAATCTTCAATGATTGCGTTCAACTATTACGTGCAGAGTCGTACTCACACGGGATGTTGTGATATGCGATCTGTTTTCGGTGGAATTTGTCCTTGCAATGGATGATTGCATGAGCTACCGTCTGCATCCGAATACAACGTACGGTCATTATAGCTGTATGTATTTGGGGCAACTTCGGGTCTAGATACAGCAATAATGACCGTACGTTGTTTGTATTCGGGCGAAGATGGTAGCGAAGTGCGCCTCCTGTGAAAACTGAGGGAGTGTTCACACTGTGGATGTTTTTTTGGTCGAATCTGCGTCCAGATGCATGGGCGAAATTGCGCCCAGATGCATTCGGGAATGCCGTAGTATATCGCCATCTACTGTCATCTAGTGTCGTATCGCCATCTACTTGAGGCATGCTCACGCCGGCAATTTCCTGAATGAATCTGGACTGAAATCGTGCAGGATTCGGTTGGAAAACTGCCCGTGTGAGTATGACTCTGCACGTAATAGTAATAACAGAGCAGGTGTCTGATCATGCACATGCACCTGGCTCTATTGTTGTGTCCTGTACATAATGGCGTCAGAATTGTCATCCCGCCGAATAAGCCCAGCTACGTTTTTCCGAGTCCCGCCATCTTTTGAACAGGTCGGTCGGTCCTCTACGTGTAAGTAAATCTGTCGTGCACGCGTTCAAGCATGAAGTGCCATGTGAACACAACACTCCTAAACGCCAGCTGATTTGTCACGTACGCTTCCCTTCCCCCCAAATACAACGTACGGTCATTATATCTGTATCTAGACTGAAAGATGCCCAAATGCAGCCAGCTATAATGACCAAACATTCTATTTGGGGGACGAAGTGTCGTTCATTTGTCACGCGTTCTGAGCCGTCTGCGTAGCTGCTGCTGACAGCAGGAACCAATGATCAATGTAGAGGGCAGTGGGTCTGATGCTATATATATACATGCGACTTGATGTCGAACAAGGGTATCTGCTGTATATAGATATGTATGTGGGATTCCTTTTTTGCACGCGACGTAATGTCGAACAAGGCCATCTGCTGTATATAGATATGTATGTGGGATTCCTTTTTTGGCTGAGAAGAGTGTTTTGTCCTGGGTGGTCTTGTCCCGTCGTTTGGCCTGTGTAGGACTGGGGCGGTGCTTGCATGTGGGACTTGTCATCTAGGATTCTTTTTTTTTGTGCTGTTGCTTATTGCCCCCTGTTTTGTTTTATTTGGCTGTTCCCTTTCCTCTTTTCTTCGCCTCTTTGCCGTTTGGCTGTGTGCAAGGGGGTCGATATGACACACGGGGGTGTGGGCAGCCGCCGCTCAACCTTACATCCACGTGGGCGGCGTTGTACGCAAGAGGAGGTTCTGAACAGGGGGAGTTGTAAGGAAGAAGATAAAAAAGACGAATTCTTTTTTTTTTTTTTTTTTTTTTGCGCTCTGATATTTGTGTGACGATATATATATATCAATGTGTCTCGAACCTCCTTTCTGCTGCTCACTCTTTTTTCGGTGATTGTTTGTTGCAACTGCTGCAGCAATGCATCTTGCACAACGAACTGCCTGGCACCATTTGTGAAGGTGCTTGACGAGGAGTTCGGCATTGTCAAGGGTACCATGACCACGACTCACTCCTACACTGGCGACCAGGTCAGATCTTCTTCTTATCCTGCTTGAGATTTCCTCCCAGCTTTATTCGTGCCTAGTCCGTCATTCCTCCTTTTCTTATTCCATTCGCCCCTCCTGTTGCTTCCCTACTCTCTTTTTGGATCTCAGCTTCATCACATCTCTCTGTGCCTATGTACTTTTCTTTCTGTGTGTGTGTGTGTGTGTGTGTGTGTGTGTGTGTGAGAGAGAGAGAGAAATTGGATGATTTTTCTTCTCTGCCGGTGTATTCGGGGGTTGGCTGATTTTTCGTGTGTGGATATTTTTGGGGTCTGCCCGGTCTGGCTGATTTTCCTTCTCTCTGCGGGTGCATTTGGGGTCCGCTGATTTTCCTTCTCGCTGTGCGGTGTATTCGGCTTTCCTTTTTTTCTTTTGTGTGCGCGCGTGTGTGTGTAGCACACACACACACACACACACACACACACACACACACACACACACACACACAGAGAGAGATTCTTTGACTAGTTTCCTGACTGATTTTGTTTGGATTTTCTGCTCATTGCTCGACATGCAGAGATTGCTTGATGCGTCCCACCGTGATCTGCGGAGGGCGCGTGCTGCAGCCCTGAACATTGTCCCAACGACTACAGGCGCGGCCAAGGCTGTCGCCCTCGTGCTCCCCAAGTTGAAAGGCAAGTTGAACGGCATTGCTCTCCGAGTGCCCACACCCAATGTCTCCGTGGTTGACCTCGTTGTCAACGTCGAGAACAAGGGCTGCACCGCCGAGGATGTCAATTATGCTTTCCGTAAGGCCGCGGATGGACCATTGAAAGGCGTTCTTGCCGTCTGTGACGAGCCTCTGGTGTCCGTCGACTTCCGTTGCACGGACGTCTCCTCAACCGTCGACTCCTCGCTAACCATGGTTATGGGCGACGACATGGTCAAGGTTGTAGCGTGGTACGACAACGAGTGGGGCTACAGGTAACCAAAAAAAAAAATCATGCTCTGTTTCATCCCCCACCAGCCTAATTAGGAAAAATACTGACGACATCCAGTCTATAATGATTGTTTTAGCTGGAAGTCAGAAGAGGACCGGTAGTATACTAATATACTCGTCTCTGCCTTCCTTATCCTTTTATCCGACCTCTCGCCTTCCGCCCATCTTCCTCTACTCTTCTACCCCTTGTCCCCCTTCCCGTTGACTCCCCTTCCGCATCTCCTTGATGTTTTCTGCTGCCTCTATCCTACACACCCTCCTCCTCTTTCCCTTCTCGTGCGGCCCGTCGTCGTCGTCAACTTGTTTTTCTTCTTTCTCTTCGTCTCCTTCCATCTTTTCCCGTCGTGTTGAACTTGTGTTTTTTCTTCTTTCTCTTCTTCTCCTTCCCTTTTTTTCTTAGTTTTTTTTAACTTTTTTTGAAAAATTTTCCCTCGTGAGAATCAGGGAAAACGCGCACGGCTGAAACTTGCCACCAACTTTGTTACTGCCATTTTATTTTTTATTTTTTATTTTTTTTGTACATTGTTACTGCCATTGTTGTTATGTGAGTCTTTTTTTTTTTTTTTTGGTGTGGGTCATTCTTGCAATGCTCTTCTGGTCACAAGTTGACCAATTTTTTTAGGCGGTATTCACACTAGGGCCGGAGTGGTGGAGTATGCATCTGACTGTAGGTCATGTCCAGAGCGTGGGTTAAGAGTCCTTGTGCGTGGAATGCCCGGAGTATCCCTTTGCCTTTTTCCGATGCAGGTTCTGAGATGTTTTTTTTTTTTGTTTTCTTCTGTTTTGCTATGTCAGTTTTTGATCATTTTCTGTTTTGTAGGTTTGCTGTGTCTGTGAGGAGTCTGAGGACTGACTTATCTGCTTTTGTTTTTTTTGTTGTTGCTGTCGCTGGTGGTGGTTTTGCAGCCAACGTGTTGTTGACCTGGCGCACCTCGTGGCTGCCAAGTGGCCTGGGGCAAAGCCTGCACCTGATGCGAAGGACGGTGATCCTTTGGGCACCTACTGCGAATCCAACCCTGACGATGACGAGTGCCGTGTCTTTGAGTAAAGATACTCTCAACTTCAGTGCCATTCAGTGCCTTCTCCACTGTCTCAATGAAACGACAGGGGGGGCACACACACATCCACACACATGTCAAGTGTAGTGCTTCATTTTCTGCAATAGAGGGTAAAGCTGCTTCAAAATTGGATATCAATCTACAACACAAAAACACACACAGACACACCCACCCACCCACCCACCCACACACACACACACACACACACACACACACACAGAGATTGGGCATGGAGAGGCCATGGGTGTCATTGAGGTTGCGCAGTGGAAACCTGCTGTACTGTATCTCATTTTTCTTATTGAATCGGCCTTGTACGCAAGAGGTTCTGAACAGGGGGAGTTGTAAGGAAGAAGATTAAAAACGAATTTAAGATTTTTTTTGTTTTTTTGGTTTTTTCGCTTAGGCGCTCTGATATCATGTGACAATATATATCCTTAAGCCAAGTCATGTTCAGCCTCCTGATGAGTCGGTGAAACTCCGACGAAACAGTTTGTCACAGCCCCTTGTTTGTTGTCCTCTTCTCTCTCTCTGCCTACGGTTTACCGGGCAGTTCTGTTTGTGACGATATATCCTTAAGCCAAGTCATGTGCACAGGATCGAGATTTTGTCGAGATGAGAATGATGTCTCGTCGTAAAGATTGTCTCGTCGTAAAGATTACCTGCATGAATGGACTCTCCCCCTTTTGTTGACCTCCAGAGTCTTGTATTCCAGAGGCATTTGTGATTTGCTTTTGCTTTTCTGTGATGTATGGTAGTTGTTAACTTATTACAACCGCCAACCAACGTAAGGGCGGTGTGCCGATCCATTTGTTTGTATTTTCTGTACGAACCTCCGTGGTAAGTTTGTCCTTCAAATTTTTGCAAATTACATTGATTTATGTTATGTGGTTTGGCTGATGGCCGTCCTGGGAAGAGGCGGCACATGGAAAGTCGATGGAGACGAGTCTTCAGCCTGTATCTAGCGATCCCCGCTTGTGTGATGCTTCACAATTAACGTCCAACGTGAAGTGTCTGCTCGAGTACAAATTGCTCGAATAGAACAAATGAATTGAGTTTGCGTCCAGCATGGTGTATTCTTGTGCTTCTTCTTCTTTATATTATCTTCTTTTCTAAATAGTAAATATGCATTTTATTACAGGGTTGGAAACTGGGTCCAGCATCCCTTACGTCTGGGTGCGCACCTACAAACCAAACGCAAACAACAATGCCTACGGAGCGCTGTCATATGTAGCTGGCCTGCTATTGCCTTCCTACAAACCAAACGGCTGCCCTCTGGCAGGGGACTTTTGAAATATCGGCAGCGGGTTTCTGGATAATGTGAAAGGACTCTCTCTCTCTCTCTCGCTCTCTCTAGTGTGTATACAGGCATCACGGTTGCTTTTTTTTTTTTTTTGCACATCAGCGATCAACGCGATGGTATTTACAAATAATATACGAATTATGTACTCAATGAAATTATGGCTGAAGTAGGTGCACGATTACACGAAGTGTGCCTTTGTATCTAGTCATCTTTGTATTACACGTTCTTCTGAATTGAGCATTTTGTTTTTGTGGGTGAGTGAACGGCAAGGCGAACTGGACAAACCCTTGAGAATGCAATTTGCCAATTACATTTGGAACATCATAATATATATTAAAGCTTACTTATTCGTCAAGTAGACAATAAGAGTACGTGCCGTCTTACTCAAAGGTTTGTCCAGTTTGCCCGTCACTTATTCATCAAATAGCTAACTGGACAACGTATGGGAGCATGAGCTAAGTGGTTTTATAACCTTCATTCCTAAATGTTGAGGGATGCTGGACCCGTTTTCCAGCAGGTGCTGCTTCCCACCAATAGATGGAGCTTTGCTTTTTTTTTTAAAAAAAAACGAAAAAAAAAAAGAGAAGACGTTACAGAATGCCGCCGTCTTCGCGGTAAAGAGATGGTGGGGTGGTTTGGGCTGTTGAAAGTTTTCGAGCAGCTTGTACAATAATTAGACAAAACACGATGAGCAAGGAACATCAGGGGTGCGGGGTTGGTAGCCTGGTAGGCACATTGTGGACAGCAAGGCAAAGTGACGAGCATACTGGGTAGCAATGCAACTTGGAAAAAACACAAGCACAGGGAGTCGCCAGTGGAAGGACTCTTAAGCCAAGTAGCGAGGCAACACGGCAAACAGCTGCACGGTGTGCAAGTAGTATACCATGAGGATGTTTGGGTGGTTGAGTGGCAAGGTAAACAACAAGGCAACATGACGAGCAGAAAAGCACACAGAAGGGGGGGGGAGCAAGGCAACAAGGCAAGGCAACAAGGCAAGCAGAAAGGCGTGCATGTCGACCACGAAGGCAGCAAGAGCAGGGTGTACGTGGACGGCGAAGGCAGCAAGTGCAGGGACGATCTGCATGTCTTTTCCCCTTTCTTTTGGGTTTTGCCAATGTTTTTTTTTTTCAGCTTTGAAGATTTTTAAATAGGTCACAATAAACTTCCATCCTACCTTCATCGCGTCCTTGTCGATGAGTTGTTATTGTTATCCTTCATGTCTTGTTTAGGGGATGTGAATTGCTGCCAGGGAGGTCCACATAAAATTAGTACTGTACTCTTTTTTTCTTTTTTCTATTTTTTTAGATGTATCCCCTCCCCCCCGAGTGCTAGTGGTGTCTGCTTCATCAGCACCACTAGCACTGCAGGGGGCGTGTGTTAAAAAAATAAATAAGTAAATAATAATAATAATATACTAATATGTATAATTCTCATCTAGGAAACGACCAACATTTTGCAGCGGGTGCATGGAGTAAGCTCCCAAGGTGTACGGAGTAATCTCCTAAGCAGTTCTCTGCCAGTACTGAACAAGCGGTGGGATTCTTTAAATTTAGGATGATGCTGTTTTCAATGTTTTGCAAGATGATACAGAAAAAAAAAAAGAAAAAAAAAAGAAAGAAAGGTGGGGGTAGCTCAGTTGGTTAGGCATGCAAGTGGCATTCAGGAGGTTGTGGATTCAAGCCCCATGGCCGCCTGCGGCGCACTTAGTGCCAACGGACTGTGATAGTCCTCTGGATACCCCTGATCGGTATTAGCGGGGTTCATGACCAACATGGGTGTGAGTGTGAGCACGAGTGGGTTGTGTGTAGTGTGTGGGAGAGTGTTGGCCATAGCCTCTGCTGCTACTCGATGAAGGGTGGGGGACGATGAGAAAGGGAGGCACAGCTACTGGCAGGTCTCGGTCTTTGTGTTAGCCAGAACCCCACTGGCGGCTCCAACCCTATACCCTAACCATTAGGGGCAAGGGGCAACATGAAATCTCCCCTTCACAGAGAGAGGAACTATGCTTGCAGGGGTCCCCTGTAGATAGTCTTAGGAGTAGGTAGTGGAAGGTAAAGAAACAGAAAAAAAAAAAAAAAAAAAAGGAAAATGCCAAAAAAAAATATATATTATAGGCATTGCCTTTTCCTGATGGAATGACCCCAAGTCGTCAAGGGTTTTTAAATTGTAGGATGAAATTATGGAGCAACACATGGGCTGGGTGCGGGCGATGGATGTAATGGTCCCTTTTTATTTTTTATTTTTTAAGAATCGACCCCATGGACAGCTTGAGATGCTGGTAGGAGCAGTCGCCTCAAGCTCTCCCGTGGTGGCTCCATCTATTGTTGGGGAGCATCACCTGCTGAGAAGCGGGCCCAGCGTCCCTTGTTACAATTGTTCAATATAACATTCACATCAGAGATTTTGAGGCCTGGAAGGGGAGTGACTGTGCAGGGCCCATCAAAGGCCGGCAGTGGTGTGCCTACTAGGGTGCCTAACATTGTCGATTGCCCTTCCACACTTTTATCGTATCCGCTGAAACTGGGGTGTCTCTGTTTTTCGATCATGGAGTCCCTCGGATGTCGGATGCTATTTCTGCAGGCTTGTAGATGTTGAAGACTTCATGGCCCGTCCTTTCTCCCTGTGGCGATCTGCTGTATTGATACAGGAAGTGCATCCTCCTTGCATCTTGTGTTTCTTGCTGAGGTAATGGTCTGTGGGTGTTGTCCGCTGCCCCTTGAATGATGTTGGAGTCGTTCTGCTTGCTGCTGGTTTGTGGCATATGAAGGCCTGCAGGGCTACCGTACTCTTTTGTATCTTTCATCCTGCTGGGCAGGGGGAGTGGAACGGGGAGGGAGGAGATGAGCAGATGGGGAGACTGGTGGGTCAGAGGCAGGTAATTGAGGGAGGGGGTAAGGGTGACGGAATCGGAACGAGGACGAAATTGGTTTGCATGTACGGGATTTGGAACTCCTGTAGCGGTTTCTTACTTCAAGTGTGCTCAGTGGTCCTCCATGGTTTCCAGGTGATATTAAGTTCGGCATCAACTTCACTGAACAGTTTGAGAGGGTCCTGCCATATCTGTACACAAGTATCGTTGACGATTTGTTTATCCTGTGGCTGTTTCTCGCTTCTGTATTCTTGTTTTGTGGCCTTCCAAGCTTCATGTGTGTGGGCTCTAATCACCTCTTCCAATGCTTGCTGGGCCTGTTGCAGTCCAAACTGGTGGTCCTATCTTCCAAAGGAACATCTTGCACGCCAGGGCAGCATTAACACGTGAAGCCTTGTGTATGAGAACAGGAATACTCTATCCGAAAAGAGAGAGTGAAGCCCTCACTTTTTAAGTGCTGGTCACACTCCTCATAGGTGATGGCATCCCGTGGGCGCCGCTGACCTGTTTGCAGATCACAAATTTGGGCCCGGAATCGCTTGTCGAAAACCGGGTGCACCCTTTTTAATGGCTAATCAGTGCCCACTGGTCTATACCTACTCCTCACCAGCAGTGACCACCAGAGAATGTGGTGCAAGCCACAAAACATGACATATCAAAAGATCCACGGTGGCCCTGCATGCTCAAGCTTTGGAGAAGTGTAGGACCAAAACAGAAACGGCCACCCAGCAGGTGGCAAGACATATGGCGGCAACCTCTCTTTGGCAATCCTTTCATAGTTGACCTTAATGGGAATCCCTTCACTCTCACCACGAATTCTCTGTGTCTCAGCTGGGTCAAACGAGGCATATACACTGTAGGCAGCCTGTGGGACGTGGAAAGAGGGGACTGGAGCCCACCGGACCATCTACAACAAAAATTGAAATACTCCAAACACGTATCCGCAAAATTGGATTTGTTGAGAGAGTCCATATCAATTGCCTGGCAACTTTCCCTAAAAAGAGGGGCCAATGTGCAACAAGGAGATTGGGTGGTCAAATGCGCAGACCTGACACTGCCACTCGTGGTCTACAAAGTGGAGATGAACGATCAAGGAATATGCACTCTAGAGGCCCCCGAGCTAGGGCTGGCGAGAGGGAGGATGTCACAGATTGTAAGGAATGAAGAACTAGGGTGGATGGAATGGTCTTAAGCCACCAGTACTTCCTAAAGTTGTGCCCGTTAAACCGCAAGTACATTGCCCTAGCCTTCCAGAAACGTTTTGTCGCCGCAAAACTCAAAAGATCCGCGCGGCGTGGGGCGCCGTTGGAAAAACAAATCGGGGCCTCCGAAGTGGTGGGGGTTTCATGCTGACACCTGCGGGCCGATGTGTGGTGTACTGGTGCTTTGACAAGCCACAATTTTAGGAAACGTACGGGCCACTTCAAGAGCGTCCAAATTCTCCGACTAGAAACCTTATTCTATTTTTCTCCACGGCTGATAGCTGGGCCAAGTACTGGTGGTTTAAAATACGTAGGTACAAAACATGTGAAACATCCGTGGCGTTTGCTGTTTGGCAGAAAGCAGCACTCAACTCACAAAAGATTCCCCACTCCCAACATTGGCCCCTGAACCTAGG